TTTTTTTTTTACTACATGTATATTATAACAGAACCCAGATAAAAAATAAAATGAGTGTGCGCTGACCAGTAACAATTCATTAATATTTCGAAGGCCTAATATGAGAGTGTTTTTGATGACAAAAGTTTCTATCACTCATCACTTTTTATAACCCCAGGAAAACACTGCTACAATTTTCCCTGATGTTTAAAATCCATGGAAGATGATCTCTGATGAAATAAAAAGGATTTACAATTTTATTGTGTACATTTTGGTACATGTACAACCACAGACACACACATACATGCACATGAGGTTATTGGTGATGCTATTCCTTTACCTACACTATATTGAATTGAGTGATGACTTTTTAGTTCCTTTTTGAACAAAGTTAGAAGTAGAGATAGCCAACAAAGCAGGATAGCTAAAACCTCTGCAGAGCAAACGTACAAATAAAAAAACAAAAGTGTCAAAATATTTGGTTACTAGAGGGCGCTATTGAAATGCATCATGTTTTTAAGATAAACAACGATGTTGGTCCATTAAAGGGGTAAACTTTTTCGGATTCTACGTGACTTCCAAATAAATTGTGGAAATAAAAACAACTCATAAATGCAGTACTGTTCTCTCAGTTTTACAAAGAGCTGGCAGTGTTCTCAAAACATAACACTGATGGTAAAATATCCAACCAGAAATTCTATTGTTAACTTACTCACATCAGATGCACACAATATACAGAAATACATGACTCATGGTTTAGGATTAGTGTGGTAGTAAAACACCCCAGTGGGTAGAACATTAACATGTAGACAACCAATAATTAGTATTGCCTTTAGAGTGAATGAATCCTGCATCAAATAATGAAGTGTCTTCTAACAGGACTGATCTTAAATCAAATTAGAATCTCAAAAAAAAAATAAAGGGTCAGCTTGCTGACTGCCAGAGAGTGATGTCTTCTAGAAGTTTACTGACTTCTGAATGTTGTAGCCCATTATTGTTTTTAACAAATTTGTAAACTTCTTAATCATTTCTCAACTATATTTTTTCAAAGTAATTGTTTCAATGTATAATGTTTCTATTGAGTAAATGACATGCCAGAGAATGAGTATGATTTTTGTGTCACAAAAGTGTACTGTGAGACCATACTTTACTTTTCCCCCTTCACTCATAATGTTTCTGTTTGTTATTGTTTTGCAGGGGAAACCAACAGATTTTAGTAAAGAAATAAAAGTGAAAGAATATGGAGAAGTGGTTGCTCCAGATTTTGTCCCAGGTGCAGAAGTGTTACCAGAAAGTAGTGCACTGACAGAGAACCAGGTGGAAGACCAACAAGGTAGAGAAACTTGGTGCATAGTTTTAGCACATTCAAGGGGAAATAAATTTAAAGGTTTTGCAACTTAGATGTGACTGATCAAAAGAAATCACAAAATGAATGTGTATTCATATTGTACATACATTTGAATACTTTAGAGTGTTTGATCACGTGCAGTGACTATGAAATCATGAGAAATGATTCTCTTATGTCCCAGACAATTAAATACATACTGTGCAAGTTATTCATGGTCAGTAAGACCTATCCAGTTGTGGTTGCCATGGGGATATGCACATACAGTACTCATTTTACCCAACAACCCACTTTTATTGCTTTTTATTTGAATGCTTATTGCTTAATTTCCATCAGCATGGTATTTTCCAACCAGGAAACAACCGCATTTTTATCACTTTTTTCCCGCTTGATCCCTTATTGAAAACACCAACTGCTTGCCCAAACACTGACCACTGGCACATGAATGGTAGAAATGGTGGTTCTATTGGTTATGTTTGGGTTTACATTGAGTATTAACTATCGTCTCAGTGTATTTTTAAAATTTTTGGTGACAATAATTATTGAATTCTGAAAGCCACTTCAAATCATATGACACTTTCTATCATTTGTTTAAAATAAAATACTAGTATTCCATTCCAGTTAAATCTAGGTCAAAAGGTCAGATTGTGTGTATATAATTATAGATAG